CTTTCATAGGCTTCCTTGGTTGTGGTTTGAGTGTGGGCGAGGACACAGGGACCCAAAGAGCCCCTATTGCCCGGGGGCCCCATGAGTTGTCATTCCGCCCCTGCTATAAACACATTAGCCAAGAATGTCAACTTCACTCCACTTAGCTCTACTATAGTAGTAGTTTAACAGTCGATGAATTGGCTGCACACAGCAATTTAATCTCCCAAAACGTCTTTGACGCGTTTCACCACTCCTTGCTCCTATAAGTAGAGTGTGGCTGACATTGTCATATTTCCCATAGAGAGTGGAGATGGACTACTATGGCTGGCATCCAGGTTGTCAATGTACAAAAGAGACCAGTCTTGAGCAAAGCTATGGATCTGCGTGTGTTTTTAGCCAAAATTTGAAATAGTCTATTAGGCCTCTGTTAGGCAGGGGACAGTAAAAACAGGCAGTTGAGCACCTCCACTGCCTTTATAAAGCCTACCATGCAGTCTGAGGGGGGGGGGAGCATCACCTGTCAAACTTGCTCATTCAAGTCAACAGGGCCACCCCCCAACCATGAGACAAATGCATTTCTCGTGGTTGCAGTATATCAGTCTCATTGAAAATTGCCATTCAGCAAAAAAAAAAAAAAAAACAGACATTCAGGAGGCAGCAGGATCTCCTAAAAGGAACCATATAGCTGAACTCTGAAAGGCAATCCACCACAGAGATTGAAGTGAGCATTTAGCCTCACTGCCTGGAAAGGTGATTATACAGCCAGACTGTACTGGACCCCAGATCTTGTTTTTCTTCTACAAGCAATAGAACAATGGTTTAGTATTACTGAATTTTACCAGAATTGTTCACATCGTATGACATTCTACTTCAAACTTTTTTACTCCTTTGTCAGAAAGGGACCACCTACTATGAAAAAAAACTGTAGCAGATCTCCAAAGATCAGATGTTTCATTCTCCTTCCATATGATCTCCTTTAAAGGTGAAATGATAATTGTCTTTGGCTTAAAAGGTAAATGCCTTCTATCTTTTAATCCTCATGACTCTTCACTCTGGAATCATCACCTTAAATCTGATCTTCATATGACTTGTTTAAAATACAACTATATCCGTGAAAGAGGAGATAAGTGTTCAAGGCTATGGAAAAAGATTCATCACTCAAAAGAGTTTTCTTTCAGAGATTTTCAGCCTAGCTCACCCTTTTAGCTTATAGGTTTAGGTTCATAAGTCCACAGTGTCTGAACAACAGTGGGAACAATGTACTTCTAAGAAATGCATATTAGGCTGCTGAGATTGTCAGCTCTAGGCATGGCTTTTGCCTACTAGGAGACAACCCCATGAAGTTCAGTTCATAATTTAAGGAAAATATTGGATGTAAATGGATACCAATGTTCAGATAAGATACCTTCTTGTAGTATAATTTGATAGTCTCCCAAATTGGAGCACGTATAGCAGTGGATAGATTAAGGGCAGCTGTGCCTGGAGGGAGCCCACCCCTCCCTAAAGGTACAGGGATGCAATGGACACCCAGCAAGAGCACAATGGCAGCTGAAGGTATCCAGTGCATCCCTGCACCTAATTCAACCAATTGTAAAAAAACAAATGGCTACCACCCCAACCTATAACTAGTCTTTGCAGCAAGGAGCACATGGAAGGCCAACGCACATCGAAAATCAATAAAAATTCCCAGCTCTCAGTGTACCAGTTAGCCTGCAAAAAAAACCATATGAACCTTGATGTTCACATTAAAAACAAGGGGTTTAGCCGCACACATTTGCAAATGTATGTGTGAGCCACAGTTGCCACATCAAGGCACCCAAGTTAGGACCACAGTACACTGGGGTGCCTTGATGTGGTCACTGCGGCTTACATACATATTTGTAGGTGTGTGCGACTAAACCCCTTGTTTTTAATGTGAACTGTTAGAAGGGTTTCATGTGGTTTTGTTGCAAGTTAGCTGGTAAGTGAGCTGGGATTTTTTTTTGTTTGTTTTTTACCTTCTTGTAGTATGTACTAAGAGTTCAGCACAAGCACATTCAAGGTACTGAGACAATACCTGGCATGTTTGATTGTTAAAACATTTGTTGGCGGTGCTGACACTTTTTATCTAGCTCACTTTTCTTCTTTATTTTCAATGAAGGTTTGTGCCTAGCATTTGCAATAAGTCTTTTAGATTCATGAACATTTTTACATAATAGTCTATTAGTTAAAAAAAAAAAATAAACAACTCAAACAAGCAGGGCTATATACTTCCTCCTCCATAGATATTACCCAGTTAGTTTTGTAGAAAATGTGGTATTTTAATACCAGCGTAATTTCCTAGAATGATTTGCCATGCAGTCATAAGGCTTTTAACACCTGCCAGCATCCATTTGTGCATCAGGACAGTACTGAAAAGATAATGAGAATATAACGATGAACATTTAAGAATACTTGGAAATGAAAAGTTACATTCTTAGTGGTGAAAATCAGTCAAAATCTAAGTAATTTTGAAGAGCTTAAAGTGCCAAATTTCCAGAATAAATAATTCAAGAGCCTTCAAAATGAGAATCTTTGCTTTAGCAGCTGAGGGTTTGTATAGCACAGAACATGATATTCACTACATGTAAGCAATTAAGAATTTCTCTGAAGTGGTATGGCTATGCCCCATGAATATGTGCTGTTCTGGAATAAAATCTAAATCTAACATCTGCATCAGTTTTCTGTATTCACGGCAGTACACTTTAAGGTCATCATGACACTAAGGAACCAAAATAGACTCCATCCAGCAGAACTCCATAATGTTTGGATCTACATTTTAAGCCTAATGAGAGCACATGATTTCATTTATATTAACAAAAGGGAAAGGTTGATGCATGACCTACAAAAGTCCTTTTCCACTTGCCCTCCAGAGGGTTTACCCCCCTTCCTGACCAGGCCATTTTTTGCCATACGGCACTGTTACTTTAACTGACAACTGTGCGGTCATGCAATGCTTCACCCAAATTAAATTTGCGTTCTTTTTTCCCCACAAGTAAAGCTCTTTCAGTGGTATTTGATCACCTGTGCGGTTTTTATTTTTTGCGCAATAAACAAAAAAGACCGACAATTTTGAGAAAAAAAATATTTTTTTCTATTAAACATGTCCAGTAAAAAGAAATTAAAAATCAAATTTTTTGTTCCACGAAATAATAATTTTAGAGTATCCAAAAAAAGGTTAAACATAATAATATCTGGTTACAGTTCTGAACCAGTCGGACCAGGGTTTACAAGCTTTGTCAAATTTAGTAATTCTATTGTTTAGGTAAGCTAAAGATTTCTCATAGATGGAGTGGGGTCTGGACTAGCTCAATGACTTATTTTAGAGAAGGGGCTACCGGTAAGTCTTTTTTCCGTGTCTAGTAAATGGTAAGTCTTGACGCTAGAAGAATATGTGTCACTAATAGGACTGTTAGGAATTATTCAATATTTCCTTTTTTTCTCTTTGTTAAACTTTAATGCAACACCTATACTGTGATATTGTGTAGATTTTCACTGTCCTATTTTTTTGTTTTTTTGTTGTAAATATATATGTAAAACCAAATAAAAATGTATTATGGGAAAAAAAAAATCAAATTTCGTGATAAATTTAGGCCAAAAAATCCCAGTACGTGTAAATTAATTGGTTTACTTGAAAGTTATAGTGTTTACAAATGCAGGTATATATACTGGAATTTTTTTTTGCTAGTAATTGTGGCGATCAGTAAGTTATAGCGGGACTGCGGCAGGCATTCTCACACTGGGGGGAACGGATTTGGTGTCACTGACCATACAGTGATCAATGTTAAAAAAAAAGCACTGACACTCTACTAATGGCACTGGGCAGGAAGGGGTTAACATATGGGGTGATCAAACTATGTGCTGTGTGCTATTTCACTACTTGGGTTGTGCGTGTACTTCACTGTAAGCACACTGCTTTGTATGGCTCTGCTATGCAGAGCCATACAAAGAAGTGTGCAGGAGCTGACAGGGGAGAGATCTGTGTTGTTTATACACAGGTCTCACCACTGTTGGTAATACTCGGTGATCAGAATAGTGGGTGCCGGCGAAGAATCACCGGCAGGGACCCGACACAGAGTGATTGAGAGTCAAGGCCGCGAATGGCGGCCCCTACCTGGAATTGCAAAATCACACACACACACTGTATATATATATATATATATATATATATATATATACACATGACTTTGTACACCCCTGCAGCCCTGTAGCAGTATTTCTGCTATATCTGCTATTATGGTGGAGGGGAAGTGGTTAAATACTCTCTAGCCCTGCAAAACCTAGCTTATGGCAGCTTGTAAAGTGGTTACAACAGGTGGATTTACTGTAAACTAGAGAAACACGTCAGACAAATGCAGAAAAATGCCATTGTAGGCAGTTATGTAATCATTAAACATAAATATTTTTAAATGTAACTAGTTGACTTGATATCAACCTAATGTAATCCCCTCCCTATACAGCATCAATCAGACTAGAAGAGGGAGAGACTTCATTTGTTAACCACATGTGCTGCATGCATATATGCTTTTAAAAACATACTGACAAGAGAAAGGAGCAGGAAGGTGATCACATCAGCCTACTGCTGCTTCTCCACTATCCAGTCAAAGACTGGTGGTGCATGGTGAACTTGCAGTGTAGTCTAACTGCAGTGAATTTAAGGCCATTTAAAAGCCGTCTTTAAATTAAATCTGTCATAATCCTGCATATTTCACACTTAACATATGTGAAAAAATGAATAAGCTCAGGTTGAATTCACTGAATACATGTGAAAGCCAATCAATCAATAGTTACAAAAGTAAAGGCAGCTAAAATGGATATCATTTTGAAATGCTGGGAGGAATTGACTTGGTCTCACTGACATCCCCAGTGACACCAATACAGTGATCAGTGCTGATAAAAAGCACTGACACTACTAATGGCACTGGGCAGGAAGGGGCTGACATGTGGGGCAATCAAAGGGTTAACTGTGTGCTGTTTCACAGTATGCTGTGTGCGTGCTTTCAGTTGTAAGTTCACTGCTTTGCAGAGCCATGCAAAGCAGTGTGCAGGAGCTGACAGGGGATAGAACTGTATTGTTTACACACAGGTCTCTCCCCCGTCGGTAATACTCAGCAATCACCAGCGAGCAATCACCGGCTGGGACCCATTGATTGACAGTTGAGGCCGCAAATGGCGGCGCGGTATATGTACGTGATTTTGCACATCCAGTATTTCTGCTACAGGGCGGACGGGAAGCGGTTAAAGGAGTTTGTAACTAAAGGCAAAAAAAAGCCAATTCCTGTAGGATTCAGATTCCTTGTTATTCATTTCCTGATTCCTAGAATAGAGGCACAGATACAGCACAGCGCATGCAATGTGCAGGACTGGAGGGGCTATTATGACATCTCTTGCAATCACACAGAGATCAAATGTGGCAGATCTGGGCACCATTGTTACAAGGCAGATAACAAAGCAAAAGCATCTCCTGGTATATAATTAATATATCATCTTTCCTTATAACTTGCTTATTTAGCTGACATTATTAAATTGCGTTACAGTATTTTCCATACAACTCTATTGCTTAATTGTAGATCAGAGTACGCTGATTAACTTTGTGTGATTCACCTGTGTGATGTAAAGCTTCTTTCAACTAAAATGAATTCACATGCAGCCACTCCTGTTAGACATGGAGGCTAGGTAGCATACAATGAAATACAGAACATCAATAAATGTCATAGTAAAACCCATCAAATGTCTAAAGTACATTCCTTTTTATCTGGAATTACCCATTAGATAAAAATAACCATATTTCTTGATTAAACTGTATTTTTATTTTTGCATCCAAATCGGGTTAACAGTTGCATTATGTTTTTACATGTTTGCATTCACATAGCATAACTTAAAAGCATTTTTAAAATGCATTTATCATTTCGGATGCTCTTGTCTGATAACTTTAGCACTGAAAACATCCTGCCTAGTTCTCTTTGTATGTGAGGGAGCTGGGGAATTGTGTTAGGCTAGGTTCACATATGTGTGGGTGGTGCCGCTGCGGATCCGCACAAAAATCTATGCAGCCGCACCACCGGCACAGATGAATGCAGACCCACGGGCGGGTGCCATTAGTTCTAATGGCACGCCGTCCGCATTGGAAAACGCAACCAAACTGGGAACCAAGGTTCCCGTGCGGGCTGCATTTTCGGAAGAAGTGCAGAGACTTCTTCTTTGCATGTCACGGGGCACTGGAGTCCATTCAAATGAATGGGCTCTCTCGTGCCTGCACAAAAGGCAGCCTGCATTGCCGCATATATGTAAACCGGGGCTAAGTCATGCTTAATCTGGTCTGTATTGTGCTGATCTAATAAATATCAGTTACAAACTGTTCTAACAAAGGGTTAAAGGCTTAGAAGCTGGGTTTCTTCATTGCATGTTAGTCCTCATGCACACTTGATGTTTTGATAAAGCTGGTAACATTAGTTGAGTCACATTAAAAACGTGAGTTTTTAGCGATTTGCATTAACGTGTAGCGGCATTTTGCCGCGATTACCAGCATTTTCCCAAGTTTTTCCGCATTTGCGGTTTATAGGTTTTTTTTACCAGAAAAAATTTTTTTGCTCAAAAAAAGTCCAAAAACGCAGCTTTGCTGCGTTTCACCAGGTTTTGCTGCATTTTTCAGTGTTTTTCAGCGTTAGAGCATTTTTACAGCTAAAAAAACTCTAGTCCTGGGTTTTTTTTTCTAGTCAAAAAACATCCCTGCCAAAAAACGTTGATTACAGTCTATGTGTGCATGGACACATAGGATAACATGCTGGGGGGTTTACTGGCTGTAGAAAAAGATGTCAAAAGCCAAAAAACAGCAGCTGTAAAAACGGCAAGTGTGCATGAGGGGAGACTCACCCTGAACTTGTTCAGAAATGCTTACAGTCAGCCATGGGGCTTTCTTCTAAGAAACATCTTAGGTCCTTATGTACACTGCTGCTCCTAAATGTGAGTTTAGGAGCTTTTGGCGTTTTTTTGCCAAAGCCCTTGAACTCAAGTCAACAAAAGCCTGTGTGCTCATGTACACATAGGCCTTTACCAGAGTTTAGGAGCAGCAGAATTTAGGGGCAGTTGAACTTCTCTTCTGAACGGAAAATAACCGCGTTCAGGAGAGGAATGTTTTGAATAAAAAAAAGAAACATGGCAAAAACGCGAGTAAATGCGACTAAACGCTAGCTGTGTGTAGCACTTGGGCGTTTTTCCATGTCAAAGTAAAATACTCTGGCCAATCAAATAAATAAATGTCCAAGTGCTGAACGTGGCTAAACACGGCTAAACACGGTACCACGTTTACATGCGTTTTTGCCGCGGTTAGTGGTTTTCTGTTGCCAGGAGAATTTAACGACTAGATGAGCTCATGTGTACATGAGGTTCATAAATATAGATTTTCAACGGTTTACAGTGGGTATGCTGTGTAAATGGGAACACAAGAAAAATATAAAGGTGTTTTTTTTTTGTTTTTTTTTTTTAAATTTTACTGCAAAAGTGTATGTGAAGCCAAAATGTTTCATTTTTACTTTTGATAAAATGTGGAAGGGTTAAAAACCTGTCAGTTTTATTGCTGCTTGTGTGACAAAGCTAAGTGAATTTTTTCATTGCAAAGGTAATTTTCAGTTAGTATAGTGAATAGTATGAGAAATTGTTATACTATAGTATAACAGTGAGAAATAGTATGAGAAAGAAACATTTTTTTTTACATTTTTCTTGCACATGACTGGGTTTGGGTTGCAAAGTAAGTTTTAAGTTTGATTTTCCTTATTCATTAAGATTCCTCTTGAAAGGTAACATGCATCACTCTTAACAAATCACTAAGTCACTCTTAATAAGTCACTGTCACTAAAAACCAAAAAAGACTAACTAGTCTCATAACTTTCAAAACTTTTCTGTTACAATTAGAAAAAAATTGTGACCCATCCCAATTATGTAATTCACAGTATAACTACTCATTACTTTACCAAGCATGTGTTATTTACTGCAGTTAGTATAAGGGCTCATGTACACTGCAGCTGATAAACTCACGTTTAGGAGTTGTTCAGCATTTTTTTCAGCAGCCCCTGAACTCACGCTAATGTATTCTTATGTGTCCATGTACACATCTTCGTTTACAGTCGTTTACAGGCATTTGAGTTTACAGTCGATTTTTTGAACGTAGAAAACTTGCGTTCAGCAGTCGATTTTATCAACGTTTCAAACGCAAAATACTTGTAAACATGGCAAATCGTGTTTATAAACGTTTGCGTTTCAAATTTGTTTTTAACTCTTCCAGTTCCCGATGCTGTCCAGAGCCTTTTTTCATCATGAAAAATGCATTCAAAGTGTTTTCAAGGTACTCAGATGGAAAAAACACTGAACACAGGATGTTCCTACCATGCTTGTCATACATTGTAATGATCAATTCAAACCTCAGAACTCTCCCACCCTTGAAAACAAAAGATATGTTAATGACCATTCACAACTCAAATTCCTCAGGAAGACCCCCTGCCAGGTGGCCTTAATGACTCACTCCACCAGACACCTTTCCCACCCTTGGAAACAAAGGGAATGTTAATGAGCAACTCACACCTAAGCTAATCTCAACACATACTGCTCTCTCTGCTTCTACTCTCTGTATTTCTCTGAAACAGTCTGAAATAGTTAATCATTTACCACTTTTCAGTGCATTCTGGGCTTTTGTGAGGTATTCCTGTGCTTATCTCTAAAAAACACTTGCAAACGCACATAAACACTCATAAATGTGCATACGTTTTTTACCCTACGTTTTCCAGCAGTCAGTTTACATCATTCAGATGTGTCCCGTGTACATGGGGCCTAAAATATATATATATATATATATATATATATATATATATATATATATATAAATAAATGTAAGGTTAGTGTGTTATTTATTCACAAATATTAGCTGATATTCTTACACATGACAGATGTTAACATATATTAAAATATTTGGGTAGAATTCAACAATTTACAGTAAACAAATGACAGTAACTTAAATTATGGGATTGCTTTATGTGACTTGCATGAGAATTAGCATAGTACATACCTTTCACATCGCAATGCCATGCACATTAACCTATGTCTTGTTTTGAATGTATTTGTTATAAATGGCTTTCTGTAGAAAGTGACATACAACAAATTGGAAAATCATTATGATCAATATTAACTAATACTATCAGTTGTTAGTGATCAAGTCACACCTCAAATGTCATGAGTGTCATTCGTGTTTGTTGAACAGTTGTCAGGTTCTCTGAGTAACTAGCCTGTCTACGGCCAACCTTAATCTCAAAATCAGATATTTAACATGATGTTGCATTGATTACAACAAACCCAGCTCTGCTAAATCAGATTATATATTGTAAAGCGCTGTGTAAACTGTTGGCACTTTATAAATCCTGTATTATTTTATTAATAATAATAATAATCTGTGAATGTATATAACCATCACACAAATAAACAATGTGCAGTGCATATTCCAGTGAATACATTGAGTTTATGTACCAGAGACAAACAGACTGAGCACTCTGAAAAGCAATTTGCTTATAGAGCTTAGTAAATGAGTTGAAGCTTCAAAGAATACCCAATCACATGCAAGGAAAATAAAAACAAAACATAATTTTGCTTGCATGTGATTGGATGATGGAAGTCAGCAGAGCTTCCCCTCATTTACTAAGTTCTGGAGCAAATTCCCTTGCAGAGTGCAACAGTTTTTTGCCTTTAGTAAATCAACCCCAGAATGCTATTTCATGTTTAATTTGTAATAAGCAATAGTAGCTCGGGGCAGTCATTCTAAATCTGGCTTTACTACAGAGTGAGTCCCTGACGTCAAACAAGCAATCGTCTAGCGAAATTTAAAAAAAGTCTAAAAAGTCTGTCCTGTTTGCTTGTTACAGTTCAATAAATCATAAGGTAGTAAATTCTGGATCAGGATTTTAGTACCAGAGCCGACAACTTGCAAAAATGCAAATTGGTTATTGCAACTGCCATTTGTGTTCTCTTTATCACACCAGGGATGGACTGACAACTCATGGGGCCCCCGGGCAATAGGGGATCATGGGGCCCGTGTCCTCACCCACACTCAAACCACACCCAAAAAAGCCTATGATAGGTACCAGGGGCATCTCATGGGGCCCCCCTACTGACCCCGGGCCCTCGGGAAGTGCCCGAGTTCCCAAATGGTCAGTCCGCCCCTGGTATCACACAAAACCGAATTCATAAAATGAACCCCTAACACTTAACATGCTAAAACCTGACCCTACAATTACCCATAAAAGGTGAACTATAACAATAAGTAAACGCAGTCACAGCCTAATCCCTAATACTATTTTAACCTCTACTATAACAAAATGAAATTATCTGTTACCAATGCTATCAGTTCCAAAAGAACACAGTCACACAACACTGCAGCAAGATGCTATTATTATTAAATTCTGTACTCCCTAAAGGGGAAATGTATTAAATGAGTTAAATTAACCCTCTGGCACTCTAATTTATGTAGCCCCTTAGAACCACTGAAACTCTATGATATGGAGTTTAAAAAATGAGAACTTGACTGGTTTTCATAGGCAGCACAGATTGTCAATGTAGTTTTCCCCTACAAATAATCACTGCATTTCTTCAGTCTTTCAAGTACACAATTACAATTTCAAACTGGCCACACAAGCATCAGTTTGGGCATACATTTTGAATTTTTTCATCAAACAATTTTTTCTTTAACATTTTTTCTGAGATGTGTTCATATTAAGGAGTGTTTTCTGCCCATCATGCCAAGCACATATACTGACTTTTGAGAATTATGGCATTTTCATTACAAACAGAAAATAACAGAAATGTGTTTTCATCTCTTAGATTGTAAGCTCCTCTTGTATTGAACTGTATTGTTGCTGTATTGTCTCCCGTTATATTGTAAAGCGCTGAGCAAACTGTTGGCGCTATATAAATCCTGTATAATAATAATAATCTTAGATTGTAAGCTCCCAGGATCAGGCCCTCCTAACCCTCTTGTATTGAACTGTATTGTTGCTGTATTGTCTCCCGTTATATTGCAAAGTGCTGAGCAAACTGTTGGCACTATATAAATCCTGTATAATAATAATTTAATCTGACGTATACAATTATTTTAACATGAAATCAAGGCCACACGTATCCGCAAATGACAAAGTTTCCTATTTCTGAATATTTATACAATTCTTAGATTTATTCTTTTGCTTTTGACAGATGCTACATTTCACATTGTTCTCTGAACAGAGAAGATACCACCTCAGTCACTAAAGTAGATATGACATAGCCTTCTCTTTCTAATCCACCCAAACAAGACACAAAGCAGCTATGAGTCTGCATTGTAAATTGCATTCTAGCTCTTGTACAAACGCTGTATCAGTGTTTCAAATGCAAAATGCTTGTAAATGCGGCTAAACGCTGCAAATCGCGTTTATAAGCATTTGCGTTTGAAATTTTTTTTTAACTCTTTCAGTTCCCAATGCTATCCAGAGCCTTTTTCATTATGAAAAACGCATGGAAAGCGTTTTCAAGGTACTCAACTGGACAAAACACTGAACACAGGATGTTCCTACCAAGCTTGTCAGACATCTTAATGACCAATTCACACCTCAGCCCTCTCCCACCCTTGGAAACAAAAGATATGTTAATGATCACCTCAAATTCCTCATGAAGACCCCCTGCCAGGTGGCCTTAATGACTCACTCCACCAGACACCTTTCCCACCCTTGGAAACAGAAATGTTAATGAACACCTAATTATCTCAACACATACTGCTGTCTCTGCTTCTACTCTCTGTAGTTCTCTGAAAAAGTCTGAAATAGTTAATAATTTACCACTTTTCAGTGCATTCTGGGCATTTGGGAGGTTCTCCTGTGCTTATCAGTTTCTAAATACCAACGCGCATAAACACGTTTTACAAAGGTGGCTAAACAGACGTTTTTAATCTATGTTTTCCAGCAGTCAGTTTCCATCATTCAGAAGTGTCCCGTGTACATGGGGCCTAAAAATTTTCAAGTTTTGAAAATAAATTCCAGGTATTATTTAAGTTCACAAAAGTATACCTGATGTAAGAAACCGATTACACCTGGCTAACATTGAAATAAATTTATGGACAACCTACTTAGGTTGAAGTATCTAACAGCCTAGACTTTTATAACTTTGACTTTCAGTTTTGCTCTGAAATTCTAAATGTGTTATCATTGCTCCAAAGTAAAATGTTGTATATACTGACATTATCATCAACATCTGTGATGCAGGCTTTATAACACAAACATTTTTGGTGCAATAGATCAACCTATCCAATCGGATGGGTGAAAAGATTGTTCAACATACAAATTTCCCTGCAGCACTCTCATTGTCAATATGCATTGGGAAAAGGAAACAAGAAATGGAAGTGGTTCTTTCCGAGCTGTGCATTGCTGCATGCAATCACCTTATAAATCAGCAAAACCCATCCGATGGCTTTCATATTTGTTTTAATCTAAAAAATGGTCAAAAGCTGTCAAAATGGTTGTGAATAAAATTAATAGATGTTAGATTTGCTGAGGAACAAATATTTAGATTAATAAATGCATTATCGCCATTACTTATTTTGGTAAGATGTTTCATGTTACAATCATTTTGGAGGAATATGAGAAACGTCTGACTACAAATCAAGAAAAGGAGAAACTGCCCCAAAGTAAGAAATATACAATGTAAAGTAGTTTAGAAAAGACCAGGACTTAGTGAAAGGCCTATTATCATAGCATATTCCAATTCAGCCAATTACTACATGTACAAGCTTAGTCAGGTTGAAAGCAACTGTTGAGCATTTTCAAATAATGTCATGTCTCTGAAAAAAGAAGTAGAAACATTATTTTAAAATGTGCATATAAAAGTGTGGCGCTAAAAGTGCAAAATACAGTATGCAAATAATATACTGTAAATGTGACAAATAATATAAAGAACATAGCCAAAAATGCTGTGAAAGTGAATACAAAAAGTCCCAGTGTCAAAGGACACTAAAAAATGTCCATGAGTGCAATCATGAATCTGCAATAGTTTAGATGATCAAATGTATTCAAGTGAAACACGTGTCACCCCACTCAGTGCTCAAGGAAGGCTTATCAGATTAATTTGACCATCATGTTATAGAATGGTCAAACTGGGCACAGATATAATCCTATGGCAACCGCTCCAGCCTCCTCTACAGCCTCCAACCATGGGTCAAATTGCGTTCACCCACTCCAAATGGATCATCAGTATCAGGCATATAAAACACATGTGCATGGAAAAAAAAAAAAGCTTCCCATAGTGTGAAATCCATTATAAAATGTATTTAGACCAAAGTAATGCACTTACATGAATGAGAATCAAATACAGAGCTGTATAATAGCAAAGATCTGTGTGTTCCCACTTAAAAAATGGCCATGAGCGCGCATGCGTACATGGTGACGTACACCCTAGCTCCACACGATGCATTTTGTCAGAAATGACATCATCAGGGATCCCTATTATACAGGATTTTACACTATGGGAAGCTTTTTTATTCCATGCACATGCCTTTTATCCCTGCCTGGCTTCCCATTGTCCAACGATTAAAATTCAAAATATTAACAATAACATATAAAGCCATTTATAACTCTGCCCCAATCTTGTCTCCAAATATCACCCAAACTGTCTTCTACGCTCTTCCCACGACCTCCTGCTCTCTAGCTCCATTGTCTCCTCCTCCCATGGTTATCTCCAGGACTTCTTCAGAGCCTCCCCCATCCTCTGGAACTTTCTACCCCAATATATACGAATATCGCCTACTCTGCCCACTTTTAGGCAATCTCTGAAAACCACTCCAGCCTTCTCTACAGCCTCCAACCATGGGTCAAATGGCATTCACCCACTCCAAATGGATCATCAGTATCAGGCATATAAAACACATGTGCATGGAAAAAGCTTCCCATAGTGTGAAATCCTTTATAAAATGTATTTAGACCAAAGTAATGCACTTACATGAATAAGAATCAAATACAGAGCTGTATAATAGCAAAGATCCCTGTGTTCCCACTTAAACAATGGCCGCGAGCGTGCATGTGTGCATGGTGACGTACACCCTAGCTCCGCACAATGCATTTTGTCAGAAATGACATCATCAGGGATCCCTATTATAAAGGATTTCACGCTATGGGAAGCTTTTTTATTCCATGCACATGCCTTTTATCCCTGTCTGGCTTCCCATTGCCCAACGAGTAAAATTAAAAACATTAACAATAACATTTAAATCCATTTATAACTCTGCCCCAATCTTGTCTCCAAATATCACCCAAACCGTCCTCTACGCTCTTCCCATGACCTCCTGCTCTCTAGCTCTATTATCTCTTCCTCCCATGGTCATCTCCAGGACTTCTTCAGAGCTTCCCCCATCCTCTGGAACTCTCTACCCCAATCTATCCGACTATCGCCTACTTTGCCCACTTTTAGGCAATTTCTGAAAACATCTCTTCAGGGAAGCCTATCCTGACTTCAACTAATAACCGAATCTTCTATTTCTCCTATCAGTTCATCCCCCGCAGTTACTACCTTTTGTACCACCAGCCCCTCCCTCTTAGATTGTACGCTCCAAGGAGCAGGACCCTCCTATCCCTCTTGTATTGAACCGTATCATTGCTTTATTGTCTCCATTTATCTTCTAAAGCACAGAACAAACTGTTTGGGCTTTATAAATCCTGTATAATAATAATAAAAAATGCTTTTTTTTATTTACAGTGCATTAAAATGTAATTTTTTTTTAGGATGCAATCTTATCTCATTAAAGCTCAATATACTCAAAACTAATATTTATAGGTGGATTCTTGTGTCTTAAGTCACACATTGGCTTCTTATATTACATGACGACCCCACGGCACCAGTTCCATCTAATATAAAGAATGGGACCCCTTATAATAGTTTTAGCAGGTAAGCCTGGGAATTAAAGGACAGAGAACATAAAAAGAGGTGGAAAAAGAGTAATTGCATAAGTTTACTCACTAGCATGTGCCAACAAATTCAACATTTTTATGAGTGGATTGGCCTTTCAACTCTGTCTACCATTTAGGTAAAATGAAAAAGTTAACATACATTAATTGAAATTGCTCATCATTCTATTTCGGATTCTAAACTACACCTGAAAGTCTGCAGAAGTTTCATCTGAGTGTTTTACCAACTTCAATGAATAATCTCTTGT